GTATTTTGGTTTATTAAAAATTCGGTTTGACTACTTTTGTTTTCAGTTCTAAAATTCAGATTTTTGTGCCGCACATCCTGGTCCTTGAGAAAGCCAGCCAGAGTAATCAAACACAGATCTACAGATTTACATTTGAGTTGATGCAATCCACAGTAAAAGTGTCAAAAACAGTTATTTTATTGCAGTGATTAATTTTATTTATATGTAGAAAATGTTACATTTGCATCACATCATGGATCACATTTTGATCAGATGCTGTTGCTGACTGATCTATGACGGGATGTAAATGTAACATTTTCTACATATAAATAAAATTAATCACTGCAATAAAATAACTGTTTTTGACACTTTTATGTGGATTGCATCAACTCTGTTTCATACAGAAGGGAAGCTTCACCAAAGTCAAACATAAATCTTTGGATCTGTGTTTGATTACTGTGGCTGGCTTTCTCGAGGACAAGTATGTGTGACACAAAAATTTGAATTTTGGAACTGAAATTGAATTCTAGAACTGAAAGTGAAAGTAGTCAAACTAATTTTTAATGGACCAAAATACAATTTCAAAGCAAATTAATTCAAATTCAGAACTTTAAATTCATTTTCAGATCATTAAATTCAGTTTCAATTTAGTGAAATTTATTTTCAAACCAATGCATTCAATTTCAAATTATGCACATTCWGATTCAGTCTGAACAATTCAAATTCAACTCCTGCTGGCACAAGATTTATCCCGTACTCCTTTCAGATTAGATTTTTTTTACCCTTTATACTCAAAACGCATTTTTTACGCATAAATACGGTACATCAAATGAATTGATGGTTCGCGACTGGTCCAAGATGATTGAAACTACAGTAYTCTGAGGGGAAATTTATCGGTGAACAAACTTTTCTAACATGTTAAAAATTCAAGCAACAAGCTTCTGCAGCCTCTGCAGCTGACTTTGAGACCAGCTGTCAAGCGTAACTTTTTACAAGCTGATGTAACTGACCAGAACTGTGCTSTCATAAGACCTAATCTCAGGCATCACATTGCAAACATATCTGTGTCATTGCTCCGAAWGCAAGGGTACACAAACACAACTTTGAATCGTTCCTGGTGCATGTTTACACTGCTGCGCCTGAAAGGGTTTGTGGTCCTTGCTATATTGGTTAAGGTCTATGCTTCCTCGTGTTACACTTTTTATAGTGTTTACAGCTTTGAACAAGGATTTGCTTTGTATAATCAGTGCTGTGACAAAAAGGAGGGACTGAAAAGCCTCCTGTCTTTTAATTTATTGACTGTTTTCACAGCCTGGCTGGGATGTGATGAATGATGGGTAAGAGCTGCTTGTTCACAGAGAATGACACAAATCCTTTAACTGAAAGGGCAAGAAGGGTTTTAGTTTTTAGACTGGATGCCGGTGTCTGGACGTTGGTGTAGTGTTGTTGTTTTTGTTTGTTTGTTTGTTCTTGCAGTCTAAAGGCACTTAAAAGAAGCACCTGTACAAGAAACCTTTGTATCTTAGGTGGAGCTTTATAACCTGGTTCTGAAATTAGAGAAACCAGARCCCTACCTATCTCAGACCTTTTCCATTATCTGATAAAATGACAGAAGTGGACCACAAGCTGCTTTCTAATAATCCAGTGCTGGGTTTGAGTAAACTGTCAGTAATAAGCCTCTCCGCCTCTTCTGCCGCTCGCCGAGAGTTTGGCTCATTGTTCGTCGTGAAAGTGGGAAATAAAGAGCCTTGATTCTGCATCTGAGAAAATGAGACCAGCCGGATGGTAATGGTCTTTCACRGAGGGCTTAGAGTACCAGCTGCTTTTCTGTTACCATGGCAACCCAGGGGGAATTGAGCAAGGCRAGGGTCGGAAAGAAGGGGGACGTCGGGAAGTAATTTTTAAGTGTTTGGGGCTGCTTGAGTCAGGCCCGCCGGTCCTTCTTTGCCATTAAAATCAATCCTCCGTGGGGTAAAGTGTGTCTTTCAGCTCATTCATTTACTTTTCCACCAAACTAAGATTGATCCGGGAACAGCGACGGACGCTAACAAACTTCTCGTGACGTGCAGAGACTTTGATTGCAAAGCTCGTCAGTGGCGCCGTTTCCTAATTTACACCAAATTTAGTTTTTACTAAAAAAAATACATCTGTCCTCCTGTCGGGTGTCAAAACAGCTGAAAACGCAGTCACGACAATAACAAACTGCAGGTGTTTTGCAGATCAGAGCAATAAAATCAAAGATCAAAGTACTTTTTTATTGAGGCTGATAAGAGTGGAGCATTAAGTCACTGGATATAAAATCATGTAAACAAGTTAGTGATCTAAAAAAGTGTGAATAAAGCCTGACTTTAGACGTTCAATGATCCACTGAATAACAGGAAACAGATGAACAATTAGAGGAAAAATATACACTATTACATGGTAAAAGTACAAAAACAGTCAAAGTACACCAGTTTAACTGAAATAAAAAATACTAACTTTGAAAAGACGAACTATTTGTAGCATATAGGCTAAGAAAAAAATGCAATTTTAATAAATGTGATACAAACAAAACTGAATTAAAAGATCTTGCTCTATTTGAAAAATCACAATAACTCATGTTCACATTGTGTGAATAAGCAGAAAATCYGTGTAATCCATCACATATGTTTCTGACATTGATTTCTGTTGTCCTCGTTCCCTGTCCGCAGTATTTGGAGACCATCTCGTCCCGACAGATGGACATGCAGAAGTTTATCGCAGACGGCTGCAGAGAGGCCTTCCTGGAAGAGAAGAGACGCTTCTGTTTCCTGGCAGACAAACACTGCATGTTCTCCTACCAACTTAGCAACTTCCACGAAAAAGTAAGCAAGGACCGAGTCGAGCGTCCCTGCTCTCAGCCTCCTTTACGTCCGTCTCTCCTAACTTTTCATGTCTTGTAAATTTTCAGGCCAAAGACATCCTGAGCTCAAGGCTGCCCTCCTGGCAGGAAAAATGCAGCGACATCGACAACGTACCAGACTCGGTGGCAAACTTGATAGACGGTCTGTCCACCATCCCGGAACAATACTCGCCAGCTGAACACTACAACAGAGTAAGTTGGTTTTAATGATTGTTTCCTTACAGTTTTGAAAGCAACACATGAACTGGGAGAAAAATGAAAGGATATTTTGTTGTTCTGTTAATCTTTTTATGTTTTTGTTTACAACTAAAACACCTTGTCAAAAGATTGAATGCCAAGTTTTTTAACACTGTGCATAGTGTTTAAGAAAACATCTATATGAATACCATAACCAAAGTATCTGTCACCTTTAGCTGTTATTAAAATGCTGTTTTTATGTTTAAATAGAAAATAAACTTATCTTCTCATCACTTCCTCTTCTAAACGCCTTGATATTGGCCTGTCTCTTTAAGAACCACCTTCCGCTTCTGTCCTGCCCATTTCGTGTGTGTGTGTGTGTGTGTGTGGGGGGGGGGGGGGGGGKSGCGCACGAGCTATGATGCAGTTTATTTGGCATCTGAAAATACATTTCCTCAAAGGTATTTTGAATCTGAAAAGAGYTTCACTGAGTGAGAAGTAGTGTTAGGAGCTCAGCAGATAGTATCACTTCCACTTTCAGTTTCTCTCGTTGTTTGCTTTGTTACTGCCGGGAGCCTGCAGGAGTCGTGGGCGGGGTGTGTTCGGCTTAAAGACACATCCCAGAGGAGGCTATTGTCCCAAAAGGACACAACCAAGATATGTTCCTGGTCCCCACCTGTCGTTTTGCTCCTCAGCATGGCTTCCTAAAAATGCTGCAGGATTTCTCAAACATGCATGAATGAGTCAAAGCAAGGCTTTGGGCATGTTTTTATGAGAGTATAACATTATAACATGGTATAAAACTCAAAAAAGTTGATTTTGCATTATATTGCCCCTTTAATTGTGAAACTGCAACTCCAGTTCTGACAAAGTTGAGAGGTTGTGTAAAATGTTGATAAAAACAAAACAAGCAATTTTCGGGTATCTATACTTTATTTACAGTGAAACTTAGTAAATATTTACCATACTTTATTTTTATTTATTTATTTACTTTTGGTGGGGAGGGGGGTTCATTTTGAACTGGTAATTCATAATATGTCTGCGAATGTGAATATGTCCTTATGATGGACTGAACACCTGTCCAGGGCGTCCCCTGCACATTGACTGCTGGATATRGACACCAGCTCCCAGTGATCCGGAGAGGAAAAGCGAGAAAAGAAAATGCCCACTTAGCAAAATTTGTCCGGCCCAGTTCTGGCCCACACAATGCACTAACACTCGGCCCAAATAACACTAAGAATGATGGCCCTTCGGTGGCCCTAATGTGGTTTGTTAGAGGTGGTCCATGCATGGGCCAGCACCACATAAAGCAAACCACAACCAGGCCAGACCTGGCCCAAATCTGGTTGATAAATCACTTTTTCTGGCAGCAGTCAGTCAGCAAAGCCAGCTTGACACCAGATCTGGCCCACACCGGTCTGTGTGGGTGGATTGATGAATGAATTTAATGGCAGTGACACATAGAAAAAAAGATAGGTATAATCTGTGTTTCCCACTGTGAAACGTCTCCTCTTTTAACATCAGTCTGTACAGCCGGTTCAGATGTTATCAGTCCATTAAATGGACATTATTAGCAGTTAYCAGTCCCATAGAATGGCTTCAGACTGTCCCGACTGTGCTCCCTAATGGGTTAAAAGTGCCATATGCATTGGAATGCAACAATCCGCTACCGTCGGAGTCCGGTCTACTTTATCGTAACCCAGGTCATTTTCTCTGAAATTAACCTTAGTGGCTTTATGCCTCCATACTAACCAGCTGACAGTCTGAAGCCATTCTATGGGAYTGATAACGGCAAATAACGTCCATTTAATGGATGATAACATCCGAATCAGGGGTCTGTAAATGTCCAGGGACTGAAGAGACCTGTTGCTGGAGTTTTCAACACCCACTTTAAAGTATGCTGTTGTAATGGACGCAGTGTGTGATTTGTCTTGTGTCTTAAAGGGGGAGCATTATGGATCAAAGCACAAGGTTCAAATCCATACCACTATCAAGTAACTGTGTTGTTATGAAAAGGCTAAACGCCTTGAAATTGGCCTCAGTCTCTTTAAGATCCTCTTACCCTTTCTGACACTCCCACTTCAGCACATCTTCACAACAATGCTTCAGGGAGGAGTGCTCTGTGAGGCGGGAGCTCAGCTTTAGACTGAGCTACAGGGAGGAGCTTTGCATAAATAGGCGGTGCTTTGCAAGCGTTTAGACAGCTCCACGTGGCTTCCACTGGAGATGCAAAGCTTTATTAAACTCTCATGAATGAGTCAAAGCAATGCTCTGTATGATTTTGTTGAGAGAATGACTTTATAAAAGTCGATTTTGCATAGTACCACCCCTTTAATGAAAGAGGCTATACCTGAAAAAGTCATCATCTGGATCCAAGCATATGTTGTTCTAAAATCCACATATAATTGTACAACAAAGATGATTCTTGTGAGGTTTTATCTTGGCTGTAGTAGTTGATCATACTGTATCTACTGTATCAAACAGAGAAGTTTGTGTATAGTTGTAAAAAATCTACAATTCAGTTAGGACAGTCAGGAATAATTAGCTCGCTATCTGTTGTTCAAACTCTGTCTCCTGTTGTTGTTATCCCAGGATTACAGTAGGAGGAAGTTTTGTTTACATTATGACATATTAAATTAGTTATCAGAAGTTATTTTGTCAAATCTTTCACAATTTTAATCCATTAATTTCTGCTGCTTCCTCAGAACAGTATGGGAACAGTGAAGCCACCTCCAGCGCCTCCAGTCAAGGCCCAGATCAGTCCGCTGGCCAGTATGTTTAACCCAGAGCCTCGATCTTCGCTGACCTCCTCCTCCTCAGACCACAACTCAGGTACTGAAGGCTGCCCTGAATTCCACGATTACATTCATAGATTCCTCACCTTTTTAATGAGGTGCATCACTCAGCCATGATTCAGCAAACCTAATTGGGCTGGCGGACGTATTTCCATCAGTGAAAGCGTCGTCATCTGAATCTGTGTAATTTTTTAATGTGTATTAATTGTTCTTCTTGACAGGTAAATGACATAATTACATATATTTCTCTGTGTGGTAAAGATGTGTTTCTTCCAGATCAGGGCAGTGTTGGAGAGGACAGTTTGTCCAGGTCCACATCGCAGTCATCTGGTCTCAACATGATTAAGAGGCGCAGGGTCAGGACCATCTTTCCACACACAGCGGGCAACAACAGCACGCTCCTCAGCTTTGATGACGGTGACATCATCACCCTGCTCGTCCATGAGGAGAAGGACGGYTGGCTGTACGGAGAGTTGGAGAAAACACAGCAGTGAGTGTTGACATGCTGCATTTCCAATTTATTCTGCTGCTTTTCTTAGTTTCTTTTGGATAAAACATATCTGGGGAAAAAAGTTTTTTTGTGCGTGTTGACCCATCTTTATTGGTGCAGGTGTGTCTGCTTTATCATCTGCATGACTGCAGTAGGGTTGGGCATAATCGTATCGTGTGAAATTAATCGTCAGAAAAACATTAATTGATTACTTTTTGGCACTTGACGATTAATATGATTAATGCCACCAGGCAGACTGACTTGCTGCTCCTCTCTGCTTCAAAT